GCTTGACATCTGCAGACACAGTCCATCAGTGGGAGACATTCCCTTAGGGACAAGGAAAGAGTAACCGGAAACAAAAAAGGAATGTATGTTTTATTCTCCTTTGCTTTATCTTCTCCATGTATGTTACTCTTGGGGACCTTATGCAGGGAGGGGGGCTAGAGCAGAGGATGATTTAGGAGTTCCTGGGTCCCCTGGAGAAATACCATATCAATTTGCACCCCATCCTCCTTCCAGAATGTGCAACCTGGTGTCTAGTTAATATAACTTTAATTTACTTGAGAAGTCCTGTTCTTTAATAGTTCATTAGTACTATCTCACCCCCAACAAAGCAAGAGAAGATAATCCTTTACTTTCTCAAAAGTAATTATTACCGACATTAAAAACTAAAAAGCAAAAACACGTAAAATCAGGAGTTTCTAGACATTAAAATTTCCTAAGTAACCATCAGCCCACTTGTACCCTCTAAATTTGTTGAATTAGAACCACTCCCTCCCCCAGTCAGTAGACTCTGGTGACACAGTTACTAATGCTGCCCATCATGTAATGTGGGAAGTGGCTCAGAGATGGTACCCGTGCAACAGATGCAAGTTCAAGTACAGAGCAGGACAATTTCTCAGAGAATGTGCTATCCACTCACATTTTCATTTTCAATTTTTATTGCTTTTCTCAGATTATAAAAGTAAATGTTCATTGTAGAAAAACTCAGATCTTTCAAAAATACGTAATGCAGAAAGTGAAAGCAATCAAAATTCCATCCCTCGGAGTGAAGCGTTTCAACTGTTTCCTCTAACATTTATTTAAATTTCATTAACATTTATTTAAAACAAAATAAAACTATTGCGGTGGTCCTTTTTTCAAGCGGGATCATAGTAATGTTTAACTCAGCAACTTACTTTTCTTGCTTAAGATCTGGTTTACTAAAGAGATCCATCATATTGTTAAAAGGTTGTATAGTATTCTCTGGTATGAATGATTCAGTTTAACCAGATTTCCACTAATGGAAAAATGTTTTTACATTTCACTCTGGTGAACTTCTTGCTCACATATCCTAGTACATAGGTGAAAGCATTTTTGCATTTAAAATCCTAGAAATGGATTTGCAGGGTCAAAGGTACATGTATTAACATTTTTATTAGGCTGTGCTTGAATCTTAAATCTTTAAAATTGCTGTGCAGTTTGAAACAGTACCGGCCTGATTCTTTGTTGCAAAGTCTAAACATCAGCCACTAAATCTAGTTTTAATTCCTTTTTCAGAAGTCTTTGGAGAGGACAGTTCCCTGTCATAGGCTGGCATGGAACCCCATGTGTTTTCTGTCTGTCAGCGCTACAGCTCTAAAGCACGTTAAAAATATTTATTTTTGAGAAGTGAGCTTTTGGAATTTTTTTTTTCAGATGACATTAGCTTTAGGTATCTTTTTGGAGTTTTTAGTAGACTTAAGTAAGATAGGCAAATTAAGGTAATCTATCACTCATTCTTCCTCCTTTCATTCCCTGGAGTGACTATCACATATAGATGCTCTTCGGACGATTGCTTAACAGAGGTGCAAGAATCTGCCAATTCTCATCTATTTAGCATACGGTTACTGTTTCTAGCAGTTTTCCAGTATTTGTCACATTAAGCTTAAGTCACCATGGGTGACCATCTTAAGCAATACTTCCACTTCAAGAGAATGAAGAAGACAGAATTTCAACAGTAAAAGACTGATAATGGTACCCTCCCAAGCCTCCTACTCTAAAGTGATTTTTGCTTCCTCTGGACTCAGATTTTATTTTTTATTTTATTTTATTTTTTTTAAAGATTTTATTTATTCATTTGAGGCACAGAGATACAGAGAGAGAGAGAGAGAGAAAGCACGAGCAGGGAGAGAGGCAGAGGGAGAGGGAGAAGCAGGCTCCCCGCTGAGCCAGGAGCCTGATGTGGGGCTCGATCCCAGGACCCCGGGATCATGACCTGAGCCAAAGGCAGACGCTTAACCATCTGAGCCACCCAGGACTCAGATTTTAAATCATCTGTCCTATTCATTAACTAGGCGATGAACTTCCTTTGTTCTTAAAAAGCCATTTCAGTGTTTATATAAATCAAATCACTAACCATATTCTCTCACCTAGATTATATGCTCCACAAGAGGAGGGATTTTGTTTGATTCACTGATGTTTCCCCAGCATCCAGAACAGTACCTGGCACATAAAAGTTGCTTAATACATATTTGTGGAATGGAAGATGAATTCTTTGAAGGCAGAAATCTTATATTTTGCATCTCCATAGTAAATGCCAACTTGCTGATTAAATTAAGGAAAGGATCTTCACTTAGGAACACAATTTAAGATTTTCTTAGAAGCAAAGTGTGGAGTATCCCTTGCCTAAATAATATTCAAGGTTCTTTCCAGCTCTAACTTACTATGAATCTAGTAGTTTTCAAAGAATTAGAATCCAATATAAGAAAATATATATACTACTAAAACTAGAGTGAATATAATTGGGTAAATCTTTGATTTAGAAAGCAGTACAGTGATTTTTCTAAGCCTTCAGATCATTATAAAGATCAAATGTGGAAACTATATTGACCGCAAACTATATTCTGTAAGTGCCTTTTTGGGAAAAAACAAAAAATCATGGCATTGAGTTGTTAATTGGGAATGCCTCTATAAGCATAAAATATGTACTTAATGTTACTGTATAAGCAAGAAGGCAAAAAAATATTTATGTACAACATTTATATTCTGGGCTATAAGAACGGTGGTATGACCCTAATGAGAGAGATATCTGCCTTCATATCCATGTCAAATGTTTAGTTATTTGAATTTAAAGCCAATAAAAATAAAAGCAGTGAAAAAGAATAAAAAAGAATCAGAGGGACAGAAAGATCCATCTAAATCTGGGGCATATTTTGAATAATATACAACATTTTTGGAAATAAAGGAAGAAAGAAAGAGGAAAAATTTTAGAAAGTCACTCCAGAAAAAGTCCATCTTATAAAACTCATTTTAATTCTAGTCTTTTAGTACTTATTTATGTCAGACCACCTCTTAGTGGATGTTTGGTTTCCTGTGCTGAGCCTTAGAAAAATTATCTTGTGGTCAGAAAATAGCATATTCTCAAGTCGGTTGACTGAAAAGACTGTTTTTTTGGCTTACTATTTTTTACAACAAATTTTACTTTAAAAAGAGAGTGAATTAATCAGATTTGAGAACTGTAGTGGATATATTCTGTCTGCTTAAAAAAGAAAATGAATCAGCCTGAAAGGGATTTTATATAGAAGCAATTGACATGAAGAATAGGGCCTGAAATGAAAGCCAGTTTTTGATCTGCGAAAGGAAGAAAGAAAGAAAGACAAAGAAAAGAAAATGAAAAAGAAAAGAGGAGAGAAAGCTTTAAGAATCCTTGGGTGGGGGAGGGGGGATTTCATAAAACACAGTAGTTAGAAGAAGGCGTGTGCCCAAGTTAGACTACAGAGCAAAGTCTGAACATCAACAACAGAAGCATTCTTGGGGAAAACTAATGCCAGGAGCACTCTTATGGTTAATTTACTAAAAAGGTAAACAAGTATTCATTTGTTGAAGCTCAGGACATGATAGTACACATGACAGTACACTTGTAATACTGGACCTTCAAGAAAAAGAAATCCTCAAAAAAAAATTTTTAAAAGACAAATTATGGAAAAAACTGTAAACATTAGAACATTTTAACTTAGGTGAGGTAGATGAAAATAGAAAACGAAGTATGAATATGGTAAGATGTTACTGCTTTCAATCATTAATGTTAGAATGTGAAAAACTGTTAGGATCATACATCTTAAGATGAATGGAAAATGGTCCTAAAAATGTACAAAAAATGAATTTTAGCATTTAAGAAATTCCAATTAATGTGTAAAAATTCCCCTCCCAAAAATGTTCAATTAAATATTTAAGTATGACAGGCTATCTATCATGTTTTATTATTGATATACTTGCAATATTTATAAATCTCAGGTTTAAAAAAATAAAATATATATTATTTTTAAAAGATGCTTTTGAAGCTAAAAAAAAAAAAAGCATTCTCTGCCTACCTAAGGGCTCACGGAAAAATTGATGCAATATTCAATATCTACACCAAAACAAATATATACAAAGTTCTAAATTTCATTTTATAGAAATACCATCTGTTAAAGTACAAGGTGCTTTATCTCAGTGACAGGCTTAAGCTCAGCCAGGAATCAGAAAACGTATTCCGAGTGGAGGCCCAGTTCAACTTGATCATTTCATGAACACAATAAATCATCCAAAAAGCCCACCTTAAATAGCTAAAGTAGTCATAAAAATAGGCTGATGGTTACTTTACTCCAGCGATAACATAATCCTCGGTCTTATTGTTGTGGAGCAGATGTCATTATGGGTGGGGCTGACGCGCAGAGCAGCTGAAACATTTTTGTACCACCCCCCGCACACTTCCAATGGGATAGAAGGGGCTCCAAGAAGGTAAGGGGAAAGCTCTCAACAATTAATTCCTACTAGAGATAAGGAAGTTTTGATGTGGTCGTGGTACGCGTAAAGACCACAATGAGATTTAAAAAACCCCCCATGATTAACTCCTACCCTGGAAAAGAGATCGTCCCTTTCTCCCCTCCCCTGCCGACTCCTCCTTGGGACACTTGGCTGAGTCTTTCTTTCTCTCCTTCCCACGCTGAGGTGAGGCTGCACGCAAGCCAGGGACGCCTGTTTTTCTCTTCGCGCGGAGAGAACTCTGCGGGTAGGAACCCCGGGTGGCAGGAAGGGAGCGGGCGGCGATGTGGGAAGGCAAAGAAAGCTCGCCAGGGACAAGCCAGGCTGGGGTTGGGAAAAGACACGCAGGCCACCGAGGAGCCGGCCGAGGAGGCCGAGGTGACGAGGGAAATCTCCCGGCTCGGAGGTGGGACCGGACGCTTCCGGCGGGCCACAGTCGCTCTCGGCCTAGCGCGGCTCGCGTTCCGCGCTCCACCGGGGCGGCAGGGAGTTAGAGAGGGTAAACCGCGCCTCGCACTTGCCTGGGACCGGGTGACCAATAACTGGTAATAGTCTTTGCTCGGCGCTGGGCCTTGTCCTACAATTTCGAACAGAGTCTCTGGCAGCCACGACGCCATCTTGGGACGCCACCGCCGTCGCTAAGACAACCAGGAAGGGGCGGGGCTTGATTGGGGTCATGGGGCCAAAGCCCTAGTTTCAATCGAACCCCGCTTTTGGGCTAGCAGGGGGTTTCTGCCTTGGGGTGATCGACCTCTCTCCCAAGAGTCAGAGGGAACTCTGGTCCGTGAAATTTCAATCCTCAGGTCCCCGGTGACCCGAATGGGAATTAGTTCCTGCTACCATGGAGGGGAGGGGGTGACCCCGGCGGAGGGATACCAAGCACAGCCTCACATTCCCCTTCCTGGTCCCTCGATCGGGAGGAGATCTCAGGCCGCTGGGAGAGAGTCGCTCGGGGCGGTGGGGGAGGGAGGAGCGATGTGATGGGCCGCGAGTAGGCAGCGGGGCCTTTCCCGCGGACGAGCTCGTCAGCCCGAGCCGGCGGGCAAAATAGTTCCCGGAGGGTGTTGGAACGGGCGGGGAGGGAGGCGGCGCGGGCGGAGGCGCACGCCGGTCGTGGTGCTGCGGCTCAGCTGATAATTGAAGGGACCCGAGGAGCCGCCGCCGCCGCCGCCGCCGGGGGGGGTGGGGGGAGCGAGTGGAAGTTACTGCCGCGCCACCGAGTCCGGACCGGAGACTTTGGGGCCTAACTAGGTAATTGGGGCGCAGTTCTTAGCGGCCGGGCCAGGCTTGGGGGAGGGGGTTGTGCCGAGGGGTTGGGGGGGCGGCCGGGGGGGGTGGGGAGGAGCTGGAACAGAAAGTCCCAGGAAGCCTGGTTGTGTCATCGCCGCGATTCGGCTCCCGCTCGGCCTGCTCCCGGCGGCGGCTGCGGCGGTGGGGCCGCGGAAGGACCGGGCTGGGGGTTGACGGGCGAGGCGCTCGAGGGAGACCGGGGCCGGGCGGGAGCGGGGGGTTAGCTGGGTTCCCCCTCCGGCCCCCCGCGATGAGGAGGGCCCTTCACGGAACCAGGGTAAGGCGTGTGGGTCTTGGGGAGCCCGGTGGTGGCCGGGGGGGCCGGAAGTGGGCTTTGGAGCTTGGGGGGCGTCTAGGAAGCGAGAAAGTGGGGGGCCGGAAGTGCAGGTGGGGGGTGTGAAGACGGCAAGGGTTCCCCGGAAATGGGATGGGGGGCCCGGAAACCGGGAGAGAGGAGGCTCCAGGGCCGGGGACGGCCCGGAAATGGAAACTAGGGAGCAGCTCGAGTGACAACAGTTGTGGGAAGCGAGGGTCAGAGGAGGGAAGAGGCCGGAGCGACTTTAGACCGCAGTAAGGGGTTTCCTGCCAAGGGGGGAGGGTTGTGGGCGGGCGAGGCCGGAGACGGGGTCTGCGCTGGGCAGTTTCTTTAGCGGTGGGAAGTTGAGGCTGAGTGAGGATGACGAAGAGACGGGCATGCAGGGGGGCTGGAAAAGAGGCCGAGAAACTTGGCTGAGAAGAGCAGAGCATGCTTCTAAATAGATCAGAATGGAAATCGGGGGTGGGGGTCCAGGACTTGGGAGGGTGGTGGACCAATTGTCGCTCCAATCTTATTAGCATTCAAAGCGAATCAGGCGATTAATTTATTTATATGTGGATTACATAAAACCTATTACATCGTTTGTCCATTCAGTTCCCCCTCTTCTGCATCCTCCATGGTGAGTGGGTTTCTAGTTCAGAAACAAGTTACAGGGGAGTTCAAATAACGAAGGTTGGAAAATCCCCAAATCCTGTCCTTGGTGGCGCTTCCTTCCTCAGAATAACAGGAATCCTTAATTTGCTACAGGGAAGAAGATTAATAAAGACTTAAAAACACATGCAAATCGGGAGGAAATAACTTAACACATTTGAACGCTGGGGGCACGGGAGGGAATTGGTTACTCTTGTGTGGTAAGGAGAGAACGGAAGGGGCTGCTCCTAAACCCTTAAGACAGGTTGGTTGGTTTTTGATAACGCCGTTTTCCTTTGGGGATGTTTAGCTTAAGCATCGTGTCTGGCGGTGGGTAGAGTTTAATTGCTTCGTTAGTTAATTGAAGGAGGGACTGTGTCAGTGAGAAAACGTTCGTGTGTGAGGGGTGCGGGGGTACGTTTAATAGCGCAGTGAATGTGTTCTGAGTGGACGTCTAACTGCTCCCCTGCTGTCTCCTTTCCTAGTCGGCCTTCCCCGGATCTTGCCTGGGCTGCCAAATCACCCGATCCCCGGGCTTTACTCCGTTTTGTAGGCCCTTTAGTGCTGTGTTCAACTTTCTATTCCTCTCCAGTCTCTGTAGATATTTTTGGCATTTCATTTTTTAAAGACCCAGAAAGTTGAGGCTGAGGATCTTCTCTCTAAAAACAAAACAAAACAAAAAATATAGGGTAGAAAGTTGAAAGAGCTATTGAGTGGGGCAAAAAACCGACGCTTGGAACAAAGGTCCTAGTTATTGGGGAAAAAGGCAAGAGGCCTATATGTGAGGCCTGTGTGTGTGTGTGTCGCATTTACTCGGGGTGGAGGGGAGTGGGGGGGCGGTTAAGGTTGAGGAATGGCATTATCAGGTTTAGAGACAAGAGACAATCAGTTGGCAGATGGTTTTATTGAGGTTTCTTTTCATTATGCAAAGATCAATACTAAGTGTGAATTTTAAAGTAAACAAAATTTCTTTTGAAGTAACCCTGCTCCATTTTCAGGCCCAGAAATACTAATTTATTAGTGTGCCTTTTACATCATCTTTGTGAGATTGGGGAGTTTTTATTTCATTTATTTTACGCTTAAGAGAACATATTAACATGGTTGGAGTTTGTGGGCTTTGTCCACATCTGCTTTTCTATGGATGTGCCGATATCCATAAGGATTTAAGAATTGCCATGTAATTAATGTAGAATGTAATTAATGTTATCATTGTTTCTATTCGATTCCCACTTTTTAAGGAGTTTGAGTGGTTTTTAAGTCTGCTGAGCTGATGGTTACTGTTTGTGTGAGTGAACAGGCTTTTTTTTTTTTTTTTTAGTTTTTCATTTACTTTCTAAAAGTTTTAGAATACTTTTGGCAGTTAGAGTTCCAGAAGCTGCTAAGCTAAAATAATTATTTTAAAAATTAAGGGGATCCTAAGCCAGTGTAAAATCAGTGTTTTCACCTAGCAAAGTAAATTTGAATATTTACCTTTCCATTCTGACTTTTAAGATTACTGGATTTATGTTATCTAGATAAGATTTTATGATCTTATTTTAAGCACATCATCCCAGCAAAGAGACAAACAATGGCTTGGGAATTCACACACTGCCAGTTAGTAGCTGTGTGACCTTGAACTATTCATTTACCCTATTTGGTCTCCAGTTACGTATTTTTTTTATTTTTTTAAGATTTTTTATTCATTTGAGAGAGAGAGAGCGAGTGAGCATGACCAGGGTCGGAGGGAGAAACAGACTCCCCACTGAGCAAGGAGTCCCATGTGTGGCTCCATCCCAGGACCTCAGGAACAAGACCTGAGCTGAAGGCAGACGCTTAACTGACTGAGCCACCCAGGTACCCCTGGTCTCCAGTTATTTTATCTGTAAAATAGGGATGGGTAATCACTGTTTTACCTCACTGGGTAGTTTTGAGACCCAGTGGATATAATGGCTGTGAAAAACTACAAACTGCTAAATAAGTGTAATATATTATCATTAATTTTAGAAAATTACAGTAGCTATTTTGAGGTCATTAAAAACAAGAACTTCTCACCAGGGGTGGTGATAGGGGGGTGACCTTGATGTAAGGTAGGTTGCAGATAAGAAGTTACAGCAACTTACATTTTGAAACTGCTGCTAAATTGGTAGTGGAACTTGGGCCCAATTTCTGTTATTTTTTTAATTATTATTATTTGCATCAGCATGGTAGATACTTTTTCACCATACCTCCTACTGAATAAATTTGTTAATCATCCTTAGAGAAATTTCTTTACATTTTTATTATTGATAACCTGTATGTGTTCAGGTCTGTGGCTCTTAAGAAATTGCTTTCTAATGTCAGAGACTACAATTAAGGGAAAATATTGCCAAATCTTGATCTGTTTTCTTCACAGGATTTAGGGGGATTTTTAATTTTTTTTTTTTTTTTTTTAGTTCTTTTAAGTGGGTGGGTGAGGATCTTTCTGAGCAAATAGGATACCAGTTGACCCTTTATCTTTCCGTTTGCTGAGGTAATTGAATGGACTCAAGTTGAAAAAGCAACCTGTTTGTTGCTTTTCCTCTTCATTCATGTTCTTGCTACTGCCAGCCTGACATGCACTTTTCGATTATTTAAACCATTTTAGGTTCACTTCAGCTCAACCCTTCATATCACTTCCTCAAAAACTTCTACCCCATGAGCTTTCCTTTTTATTTCTTGGTTATCTAAATAAGCTCCATTTTGGGATTATAGTGCTGAATTTGTTGACATGTGTTCCTTTTGTTTCCCTAACTGGATTATAGCCTTCCCGAAGTCAAGGTTTATCTTGTATCACTGTGTTTTGCATGAAGGTGCACTTATATGCCTGATTGAAAATAATACCCATTTTCCTTCCAGTAATGTTAACCTAGTCTTGCTGACTGTGCAACCAGTCTTCCTGCTTGGGAAGTTTCTTAGCCTCGACAGATTCCTCAGGATGCTATTTGGTTTTGTGATCACAGCCTCTTCATGTCTTCCTGACTGCTGTACCATTGAGTGCCGGGAAAGGGTGGAAGAGTAAGAAAGAAGTTGACGGATATTACACCATAGATAGAATCTATAGATTGTTCAATAATCCTGGTGCTTGTAGTTCTTAACATATAATGTTAACTTTACACTTGTGTGTTTTCTTTCAGTGCCTCTGTATAGTTCATACAGATTTCTTGAAGGCCTAAACCTCTCGCAGTTATTCTCTATAATCGCTACCTGGTCTGCTAGGTTACACTGACACACAGTGGGTGCTCACTGTTAGAGTAAATAGGTAGATAGACTGATGCTGAACCAGTCTCTTGATTTTTTTTTTTTTTTAAGGATTTTATTTATTTATTTGAGAGAGAATGAGAGACAGAGCACGAGAGGGAAGAGGGTCAGAGGGAGAAGCAGACTGCCTGCCTAG